CATCATGCCAGGGATTCCCAGGAGCGAGCATCACATCAACTTCTAAATGTGATTGGTGGTTTCAGGAAGAATTGATGCACAATCCATTTTGGTGGGTGACCGAATCAGGCCAAACACAACAGTTGCTGAAGACTTTTGGTCAGATTTCTGACCAATAACTTGGATTGGTGAGGAGCCAACAAGGGAAGAAGAAAAAACATCCCCATGGTAGAATCAATGGGAAATTCAGGATCCTAAAATGGAGGTACTGTACCATATAAGGCCATATTTTGGGGGAATATTCCCTTACATAGGCCTGAAATATAGGTCTTATATATGGTAGGTACCTCCAATCAATCGGTTCCTGGAATGGACATTGATAGAATGACATAGTCAAAACTGATCCCAGTGGCTGTATCCATTCCGGACCTTTGTTGAGAAGCGAGTGGTCACCGGGATCCCAGCGACCAGATGGAAGATCACTGCTGTCCCCGTTGTGTCCATTGGGGCATTTTGGGATGTATTTTTTCTGATGTTTAAAAAATTGAGTAGCCAACATACGACAAACTATGATCAGAATCATAATCTGTTTAATTCATTTTAATTCCATATCAAATTGAATGCATATTCATGTCTTCAGATAAAGTTCAGTTAAAAAAAAAAAAACACGTTTGTTCTTGGAGAAACTACCACCCCCCTGAGGATTTGTTCATCCAAGTAGCCCATGAGGTCTACACCACCACGCAGGGAGGTGACAGCAAGGCAGATCTCGTAACCGAAAGGCTGCGATGTGTCAAGGGTCAGCCCAAGAAATTGCTGGGGACGCGTCAAAACATTGGATATCAAATGATAAGCCATCGATATATGGTATCAGTACATATGATATCTCAGAAACTGTGCGAAGTATTTTGTATCCAAGCGCATCATTTTTTTGATCTCAATCAACAAACAATGACAAAAGATAACAGAAATGAGGCTTGACCAGCAAAACTGCCGGGCTAATGAATATGATATAGCTGTGGATAAAGGGATTAAATTACATTAGTGATTTGAAGGGAAATGATGTCAGCCCATTTACAGTAGAAGAATCCATGGTATAGACTTGGTAGTGTGGTCCTGAATTGATTTATAACCGAACAAACCAGTTGAAATCCAACTCTGAGTGAAGGAATATCCCGATTGAACCAATTGAACACTTTTGTGTCTTAGCGCAGTAGCCAAGGTTAGCCATGGGTGGGGCCACTTTTCCAAATTCACCCAAGCCTTGCATAAGATCCAGAAGCGACTTAGGGCTTTCGATATCCCGATAATGACTGACAACAAAAGGGGCTCGTCTGTCCCCTGCATGACCAACTGGCAACAAGTGTACCCTACCATCCACTACCATGGAAATGAAACATCTGCAGACTTGACCAGAAAGCCACCTCTGGGATTTTCTTACGAACATGCGATTGGAAAGAAGCAGCAAAATATGGGGATGCCATCCGGGACCAATGGACCAAGGTGCTGATCTGGGTTTTAACATGTGGCTCAAACAAGTCCGAACTATGAACCTACACAAGTGGTCATTTAGTAGATTAAAACATACTGTAATTCATGTGATCACATTTGAGCCATGTGCTTTTATGTGCTTTATGCGTTCATTCAGCAAAATTAATTTGTAATGCGTTTTATGAGTTGTGTTGACCCACAGAGCCCATATCCCAGAATTGGTTCGAAGAAGAAAATGCAGGAAACCCTCAGATTTTGCTGCAAAGTCCATATCTTGCTGTTTTTGTTTCCTTAAAGCAACCCATTGATATCCATTGATCATGGTATTTGGGATGTATTTGGTGATGGGTTCACCGTATGTTTCAAAGTGAACGTCCTCAGTTTTCTCGTCATTCGCTGCACAGCCTGCGCCAGGACATGTCTTGGGTTGAAGGTGTCACCCTGCTGAGTTCGGAGGAACACAACGTCATTGCCCTTTGGCGAGACAGCTGAGCTGAGTCTGTTTGATCCACGGTGAAAAAAATGGGGGGGTGATGTTGAAACCTGCAGAAAAAACTGATAGAAACATATGGATTTTTTGGGGATGACCTTTTTGTTTTTTAATGTGGTTGTTTTACGTATTGTGGATGCGACTATTTTAATAGGATGTCCAGTCTTTTGAAATAGGATTTCACTTTGTTTCGGAACAAACATTAAAAACAAAACTGAAACATGGCGGATATCATGAATCTTCAAAAAGATGCGATCCCTTGATGTTTTTTTTTCGTTCACATGGTTATATTCCAGGATCAAACATGAAATGATCATCTTGGGATGGTTGAAACCACTCCTCATACAGTGTTGGCAGTTGGAGGGTTGCAGTTCGATTGGGGTCCTGTAAACAAAATAAGGTGAGGCCACAATGATGGTTGCTCCCATGTCCATCCCCACTTGGCATGATGGGTCCGAGTATATCATGGTATATCTATGTATATATATGTATATCCAAATCATAGATATCTAAGCACTATGAAATATCTAAATACCCACAGATATCATATATATATATACATACATAGATAGATGGATGGATGGATGGATGGATAGACAGATAGATAGATAGACAGACAGACAGATAGATAGATAGATTATATATATATAAATTGAAATTCCAAAAGTTTTATATTATGTGTAAGAATATTGGATATTTAAATATCCAGCGGTATCATTTCATCAGCACTGAGCATCGTGGCAAACTCCATCGCTTCATTTGGATGTGCTCTGCAGGGTGACGCCACTAGAAACTAGTGTTCAGAATGACTCACATCAGATTGGTGTGGTTGTTGAATATTTCATGATTTCAGTTGTAGTTTTAGTGAATAATCAATTATGTATGCAGAATTTGATCAAACTGTTGTTTGGACTTACTTGGTGAGTTGGTTATTTAATGAAGATTTCCACTCAACCTCCATTCTTCCAAATGGAATGATGGTCACCAAGTGACCATTACAATATGTTGGTGGTTGAAACCTACCAGAGGATCTACAAACTTGTGTATGAACACTTTTAAGCCTGACTGAATGTATATAATTTTGGACTGCCATCTTGTTCGGTAAAAGGCTGTAAAAGGTTTGATGGGTATTTGTCCAGATTTGAAACCGGCGAAAACATAAACATTGACCATGTTTTGGCATTAAACCATCCAACTCTATCGTTTTTTCCTCCGTATCCCAACTGGCCCCGGTTGCTTGTAATTCTCTCGATTTGGGGGACCAGAACACCCGCCGGATCAAGACCCTGGCTTCAAAGCTTCGCAGGTAGCAGGTAAAAATGGATATTCACAGCCCCATTCATATTCATATTCATCATCATCATCATCATCATCCAATGATCCAGTGATCCAGTCATCCAGTCATCCAGTCTTCCAGTCTTCCAGACATCCAGTCATCCTGTCATCCAGACATCCAGCCATCCAGCCATCCAGTCATCCAGTCATCCAGTGATAACGCTACATGGAAAAGTTTATGACATGCTTTGACCCATCGTCCATGTGATGCATTCCCAGGCGTTTGTGTTGCTCATGGCGTTTCTGCGGGACCACCAGGTGGGGGTAAGATGTGCTGGCAGAAGATTGTCGGATGACCGGATGACTGGATTTTATCGGGTATATACGGTATGTATATATATATAAAAGTAAATATGTATATTATGACAAACAATAGCGGTGAATAATGGTGAGATGATGATGATGATGATGATGATGATGATGATGATGCTGGTGGTGGTGGTGATGATGATGATGGGGAGGATGGGGAGGATGGAGGAGGAGGAGGAGCAACGAGGGTAGATGTCAGTGTATTTGGTCCATTGAATGTGCATTGGGTTTGATCTCCATCCCCCGCGATGGTATTTTGTATGTAATACAGTCTCCAGCCCTGGAATGGCCTGACTGAAACGATTTCGGAGGCTGAACAGTTGTAAAATACTGTACAGTAAATTAATTGCTATTGATTTGCAGAGGTCGTCGTATATTCTGTTCCAAAACAACATGACTTTTCTAGACTCTAGATACTCTAGCCTACACACTAGTCTTGCATGTCTTGCATGTCTTGCATGTCTTGCATGTCTTGCATGTCTTGCATGTCTTGCATGTCTTGCATGTCTTGCATGTCTTGCATGTCGCATTTCTAAAGTTGCAATGCCAGGGACATGTTTCCATCACCGTCTGACGCCAGGACTTCTATGTGGATGTCGATCTCATGGACGGACGGATCTATTCCCTGAAAGGTCCAGGGGGCATGGAGCGCCCCGGTCGCACTCAGTAAGTGTCAGCTGGTGGTCAAAACCTCGGATTTTTGCGACCGGTTACATGGGATGAACATTAGGAACTGCTAGTGTTTCATCCTATAAAAAAAAAAAAAAACAATTGTTGCAGTGATTCATCCCTATTTTCCTCATTTTAATATATTTTGATATACTATTATCACATAATATCATCTATTATCTCCATTGTTGATGGTTAGATCAATATAGATCAATGTTCAATCCTACTATTCCCATCACAAACCCATACTAAGAACATTTCTTGCTGGTCATCTTCCCCTTGATGGTCGATCCCCGAGGCTGATCCCCAGTGAGGACCAGGTGCTCCTCAGTGAGGAGACGACGCCGATGGTTTGGGAATCCCAACAGGTGAGAGACATCCTGTTCAATATCTCATGTTCAATGGGTAAAACAGTTGAGATATCCCATTGAAATTTTATAACATGTTCTTAACATATTTCAATATCTCATGTTCAACATCTGGGGCAATACCCTCTGGTAATTTAACAGTTTGCTAATTTGAACACGGCCCATAGGAATAGTTGATTTACCGCCCATTAAACCCATAGCTATGTTAGTTTACCAGAGGGTATCTCATGTTCAATGGGTAAAACAATCATAAACCATCCCCCGGTCATCACCATTTTATAGGTGGTCTAAAAGTTTGGGCTCGGACCCCTTCCAGCGGTCAAACTGAGGCAACAGAACGTTCGAGAATCGGTTTAGCCATGGAACTTCGATCGGTCACTGACATGCCTACGGGGTGTAGGTCAAATGTTTTGGTGGATGTGATCACGAAAACGGATGATTACATCGTTTGTCGGGATGTCCCTTTTGGGTCAAGCTTGGTTGTCCAATTTGGTGGTCACATGGACCAAAGAATGATGCTCTACCAAGCCACGAAGCTAGGTTGTAAGCATGACCAACATGAGATCTTTGCCTTGGACCCAAAATATGATCCTTTGCCTGTGAACATCCCCAGGGAATTGGACTTTCTTTCCTCTCACGACGTCCTGTGTGGGTTGGGTGGTTTCTCGTCCAGTTTCTCTTTTCTTTCGATGTCTGTGATCACTGCGGTTGATTGGAATTGCCTTGCTTCGGTTTCCTATCAAATGAATCACACCACCTCTTTCCTGTTGGCTGACATAGATCACCATGACACAGTTTATAAGATGCACCAGGCACAAAATGCAGCTGGCTGCCAACCCGTGCTAGCAGCTGGAATCCCTGTTCGCAGCCGCACTCTGCCTGCTGTCTTAAGGGCAGCATACTGGTTGAACACAGCTGGATTGCTGCTGGAGTGCGCTCCAGAGGCTGCTCATGATTTCAGCACCCAGGCTGCCATTCGTGAGTACGCCCAGCTGAGAGGTTGTGACATCTTCCAAAAAGTTTTGCATTTGCATTCGTGTTGGCCAGCCCGTAGATCACGATGGATTGCATTGATTGTTCCTAGTAGCCTTGGTTTTTCTGGGTTTGAAGATTTGCCTGTACTGCAGCCTATGCCAGTTTTGGGTGAGCTGTTTCCATATGATCCTTGGCCGGTTTGGCCACAAAAGGACGAGCAGCAACTTCAATGGACCCCCATTGAATTGCAAGCCTATCGTTGTCCCGACTTTGGACCAGTGAATCGAAAGCTCAACCTTCAAGAGCCATGTCCGACTGCATTGCACAGCTGGGGTTCCGTTTTGTATGCGTGCCCTTGCGGTTGCCGAGACCAGGGCATCAGCCCATCCAGCCTGCAACGACAAGGACTCCGTGGAGTTGAGGTTACCTCCGGCTTATGGCCACATGCCCCTAGACATGTTCATCCGAAAGAACTTCAGCTCATCATGGGATTTCCGCCTTTTGAGAAAACATTGGAGGATTGTAGGGCGCAGTTGGTTCTTTTCGGCAATGCCATCTCTCCCATTCAAGGGCTTTGGGTTTATGCCCATCTCCTGAAGCATTGTGGACTCTCACCATGGGGTATGACGCCTAGGGAGCTTTTGGTAAGGTACATGAACATGTTGCTTGATCAACGAAACCTGGTTTGGCCTAGCCCTACTGCAGGAGTAGCCACCCTGTCATTGACTTTCCAAGGTACCACCACTGAGGTGACTTTCAGTACTACTCAGACAGTACGTGACTTGGTGCGTGCCGAGGCACTTCTGCAAAGTGCTGTGCGGGTACAAATCAGCTGTGAAGGGGTTGTGTTGCCTGATTGGGCTTTTTTGCAGGAGCGAAGCTATCACATGGAATTGTTCCAAGAGCCAACAAGATCCGAGGGTCTCCTTGTGCCTGTTGTGCTTGAGCACCTGGGTGTTCGTATTTTCCATTTGGTGCCAGATTGCATGGCGTGCTCCGTTTTCCTGCGTTGGGCTGGAATTCCTGACTTTGTGGGTTTGGTGGATGAATGTGGTAGCAAGATTGACCCCAGCGGTAGTCTGCGTCCTTGGCAAACAGTGACTGTGCAGCTGTCACCTGAAGATTTGGATTTTGAATTGAGTCTTCGCCTGAGTGGATTTGGACTTGATCAGATGACAGGCAGGACTGGCAGTCTGCGTGTGTCGGAGTCTTTTTGCGGCACTGGTCTTTGGCACCTAGACCAACTGTTGCGCTCTGATTTGCTTTTGTCTTGGACTGGTACAAATTTCGCATCCCTTACGTGCTGGCTCCCGTCTTTCTCTGCGGCGGTTGTGGAATTTTGGCCGAGTACCATGGAATCACACCTTCTTGATTGGTTGACCTTGGATCGCGCCTTGGTGTTTGCCATCACTTGGGAGTCTTGGGGTTGGAATTTGGTCAGTTTTGGTTTTGACGCTACCAAGTTGGAGGTCACCTTTTTTGAGCCTGAAAATGAGACGTCAAGTGTGGCATCGTACCTTGCTTACCGTGTCAAAAGTGCGGCCAAACGCCCTGCCTATCTGGAACATTACTTGCCACTTTGCTTTGATGCAGGTGACAAGGGTTCTCTTGGACTTGTGCTTGAAGCTGTGGATTTGGCTTTGGGTCTTCCATCGTTTGCGGTGTCAGCTTTGCGGGCAGCACGAACAGCCCGCTTCAGCAGGAGTGAGGATGACACGATGTCTTTCGAAGCCAGTGTCTCAACCACAGTGCCTTTTGAAGTTCATGAGCCAATGCAGTTGCCAGTCCCGGCAGCTGGGCGCACTGTTTCTCGGGGGGTTTGCCATGGTCTCACTGTGAAATTTGTGATGGATTTTGCACGAGCCTTGGCTCAGCAGGGTCAGCAGCAGATCACATCATCTCAGATCAAGGTTGTTCTTCTTGGCAGTCAGGCCTGTGACCTTAGTCGGTGCACGTTTCGAAGCTTTGAGCCAACTGAAGCGCCCATGTGGATTTTCACACTTGTGGACTTTCATTGGACAGTGTTGCACTGTTACCGGGATGGTCAAACTTTGTGCGTCGAACACTTTGATGGTCTCTGCCAAACATCCATTTCTGATCTCACGTCTGTGGTCCAGGTTTTGCGTTCGGCTTGGAATACCCAGCATGTGCAGGTGTCTACTCAGTGGATTTTTCCTCAGTCTCGTTTGGATTCCTGTGGAACGGTTGCTTTGGCGCATTTTGCTTACCATATTGGGTCCATCACGTATGAGCAGGCATGTCATTTTGAGGACTTGCATGACAGCTTGGCAATCTGCAGCAGCATGTTGCATTTTCAGGGTCCGATTGGATTTGGGACTGAAGAAGAGGCCATCATCAAAACCCTTGAACAGATCCTGCCGTCCAAGGGCGTTCCTGACACTGAGGTGCGCAGCAGAGCCCAAGCAGCCATCAAACTCTTTGGCACAAAGGCCCTGCAGCAAGCCGTGCAGAACAAAAATGTTTGGGCGTCGTTGAAAAGCCTGGGCAACTCAAAACCCAAGCCATTTTTGTGGGTGAAACATCATGAATTGCAGCAGCATATACAGGACAGGGCCCAGACCAAGTTTGGAGCAGTGGATCAAAAGAAGCCCGCCAAAAAGGCAAGCCGTAGGGAACCTGTGCTGTCCAGATATTTGGATCCGGCTTCTCTTTTGTTGCCACCGGACTTGTTCATCACCAATTGTGGTTCTGTTCTCCCACAACTTCAGCTTGATGAGGTTCAGAAAGACGCTCGAGGTATCGCCTTTGCATCTCCTGATGCGGTGCAGCATTTTCTTGCCGATGGAAAAATGATCAGCCAAGAGGGCCTCGCTCTGCTTGTTGTGGGACAGATGCCTGAGCACACTCCCCTGTCATTGCCTATGCATTCTTTGCGGGTTCCAGCCATTTACAAGGGAACCAATGAACCAGTGATTTTGGATTGCACTTCCATTCAGCTAGGTGACCAGGCTGTTTATCGCAAGACTAGTCAAGATGCCCCGTCTTTGACTGTTTGTCCAACTCGTGTCTTCCGTGTCCATGTCTTCAAGGACCTTTGGCAGCAGGAACATGACTGGGATGAGTTCCTTGGTCACCCAGTTCGGTCGTTGGTTCAGGCTTTTCCCATTTTTCGACTTTGCAAAGATGCTGACTGTGATCATCACTGCTCCCTATTTCATCCGTCTCTTGAAGAGGAAGGAGTAGAGAGTGGACTTGTTGATGTGTGGGCTTTTCGTTGGCATGGTCTTGACGGGTCAAAGCAGCCTCAAGCACAGGCTGAAGTTCTTTCGGTTTATGTCAGGGTTCCAGAGTCCAGTTTTGACCAGGTCCATCGATCCTCAGGTACACAAGGTGTCTTTTTTGAACCCCGCAGCTCTGACTCACCTGGCCCGGACGATGCTTTTGCGGTCATTTGGGTTCCACAAATTGGATTGAGTGATGCGCAGCACCGAGTGCGCACCTTGGATCATTGTGTTGCTGTCTGCCGGCTTGGACTTAAGTATGGCATTCGTTGTTTGGTCAAACACCAAGAAGAGCTGCACAAGACCTTGTGCCCGTCCCGGCCTTTTGTCCATGTGTCTGTCAAAGCAGTGTATCGTCTTGAGCCTCTTCCTGCAGGTACACAGCGAACATCCTTGGTGGAGATCCTTCGCAGTTTTGGCTGGAATGCGAAGCCTTTGCAACCATGCAAAGGCAGCCAGGGTCAAGCATGGCAGGTTGGGGCGGAATCAGAGCCCCCAAAGCCCTTTATTGAGTCCCAGCAGGGTTGGATAGGAATTTCAAAGGTCAAGGATGCAACTCCAGTTGCCAAACCACAAGGCCTGATTGCCACCATGCGAACAAAGAAGCACATTCAGGAGGCGTCAGCCAGTTCCTCCTCAGGCACTGCAGATCCTTGGCAAACTGGCCCAGACCCATGGGGAGGCTATGCCAAGACCACAAAAGCTGCCGCTGTTCCGACACAGCATGTCCAAAGTAGGTTGGAGGATGTTGAATCACGACTTCATGAGCATGTCAAGCAAACGGTTACCCAGGAAGTTCACCAACTTCCGCAGCATCCAGCCACTGACCTTCGTCTTACCGCAGTCGAAAGCCAGATTCAAAGCTTGGTTGAAAACCAGACGAAGCTTGAGCATTGGGTTCAAGACGGCAGCTCAAAGATTCATGGCTTGCAGCAGGAATGTGGACAGCTTCAAATGACAGTCCTTTCTCAAGGTCAGACTTTGCAGCAGGTCGCCCATGAAGTGAGCCAATGCACCAGCAGCTTGCAGAACGTTTCAACCGAGGTCTCTGGACTTAAGACCGATTTGGGCAAGCATCTTGACTCGTACTTCACCAAGCAGCAGGAAGCCATCGAGGCCATGCTTGCAAAGAAGGCACGTCACTCGTGACTAGGTCTCAAGGGGCCCTCGCTTGGATTTGGGAGGGCGCCCTGCACCCGGTTGAGGCCTTCAAATTGGATTTTTCGTCTTTGGACTTTTTTGATTTTCTTCTGTGCGCACTTTTGTCGGATTGGTGAAGCTGCGGTGCCTGGCCCGCCTGAGGGCGTTGACTCTTTTGTTGATTCCCCTGAGTGGACTTTGCCGGGGACTCCTGCGTTTTGTCTTGGCACGTTCAATCCTTCTGGAATTTCTAACAAGTTCCATATGTTGGACTATTTCCCTGTCGGTTGGTGGCATGCGGCTGAAACCCAGGCCTCCAAATATCAGCAGTGTGCTCTCCAGAGCTATCTCCGTTCCCTTTCCTGCCGCTCACACAGGAACATCAGAAGCACTTTGGGAGCACCAGCGGCCTTGCGGCCTGGCTCACAACAGGCTGGGTCATGGACTGGGGTTCTGAACTTCGGTGATTGTGCCATGAGACAAGTTCCTGGTCTTTGGCCTGCCGGCGAATATGACAGTGGGCGGGTGCTTTTGACGGCCGCACATGTTCATGGATTTGAACTGGTGAGTGCCACGGTGTATCTTCCCCCCAAGGGACCAACCTATCCTCGAGCAGTGGAACTCAGTGAATCTTTGCTCACCCCAATCACTGAGGAACTTGTTTTGGGACGTTCTGGGTACCGGGTTATCCTTGGCGATATGAATTGCCCTGCTGGCTCCTTGCGTCAAATGCAACTTTGGCAATCCTGTGGATGGATAGAACTGCAGGATCTGATGTTCCAGAAGTATGGCATTCCAAAGCGGGCTACATGCAAAAGTGCCACTTCACCTGACCAGATTTGGCTTTCTCCTGAGGTTGTTCCCTTGGTTCAAAATGTTGCTTTTTGGAATATCTTTCCTGACCATCAGGTTCTCATTGCGGGGTTGTTTTTCCCACCTGTCCGTGTTGTGGAACCTCAGTGGCGTCTCCCTGGCCATATTCCGTGGGAAAAGGTGCATCAAGATCAGTGGATTTCTTCTCCTGACTGGGGTCCTCTTTTTCAGTCAAACCCGTCACATGTGGTGCGTGCCGGATTGGCTACTGTTCCGTCGGGTGAGATCCCTGGATCACAGCACTCTGCTACCTTGGACTTTCGGCGATGGAGTGCGTCATTTGAAGAGCAGGTTTCCAAATGTGTGGCCACTTCGGTCGGTCGTCATGACAGAAGCTTCTTTGGCCGAGGGTCGATTACCAGGCCTAAACCCAGAAGAACCCATGCACCGGTCATTAAGCCTCCGCGCCCAGGAGAACTTGCGCCTGCTTCGGGGTTCCTGAACCGTTCGGTTGCGGCTTGGTATAAACAGATGCGTAGGTTGCAATCTTACTGTCATGCTGTCAAATCATCCCGGGTTGGGGACACTTATTTCTCTAGGGCTGCCTTGTGGAATTCTGTCAGGCGTGCTTCTGGTTTTTGTGGTGGTTTCCCTGTTTGGTGGTCACATCGGCCTTATCAAGACCAAGGTGCTCCTCGCACCCTGCCTGTCGTTCCTCCCGGTCAGAGCGTTGCGCAACTGGTCTTTGATGACTTTGTTCAAAACTACAGGCGTTATGAGCATTGGCAACTGCAGCGTCGTCGGGAAAGCTGCAGAAACAAAATGATTGCCACCTCACAGGCACTGTATGCTTGTACCCGCAAGCCTGCTAAAGCCCCTTTGGACTGTTTGGTCGATACCCAATCCCAACCCATTGATGTTGTTGACACTAGGCACAATTTGGTTCGTGCTCCCGAGCCTTACCATGTCACTGACACGGCCACGTGGACTTTGCAGGGCCTTCCAGCTCGGGTCAGAGTTGTTGATGATGTTTATCAAGTTGAATCGGATCTTGTCCTTGCCTCGGGTCAGTCCCTTTCTTGTCATACCATGACCACATCTCCTGAAGAGATTCATGATCGACTTCATCAGCTTTGGTCTCCACGTTGGAATCGCCATGCGGAAGTTCCCGAAGCCACCTGGGACGACGTTTGTCGCTACGCTGTTGACACTTTGCCAGCTGGCCAGATAGAGCTTCCTCCTATCACTGTCCAAGACTTCAAACGTGCCGTGCATTCCTTTAAACCCAGAGCGGCCACCGGCCCTTGTGGCTGGACTAGAGCGGATTTGGCGCACCTTACTGATGGCCAAATCCAACAGATCCTTGATGGATATCATATGATTGAAGCTGGACATGCCTGGCCTCGTCAATGGTGCATTGGGCTTATACACTGCTTGCAAAAGAAAGACTCCAGTGTCTCAGTTGATGGGTACCGTCCTATCACTGTCACCAGCATCTTTTATCGACTTTTTGCTGGCATTCGTGCGGGTCAGATTTTGTCTCAGCTGGCCAAAGCTGCGGATGAGATGCAATGTGGTTTCATGCAGGGTCGTCAGGCATCGGATGTGTGGTTCTTCATAGGGGTTTGCTTGGAGCTCTCCACTCACCAGTCTACCCCTGTCCATGGAATTGTGGCCGATCTTGTCAAGGCCTACAACACACTTCCTAGGCGACCTACTTTCAAGTGCCTTGAAGTTCTTGGAGTTCCACAGTGGTTTCTCAAAACATGGCAAGCACACTTGTCCGTCTTTGAGAGGTTTTTCGTTGTCAATCGGTGTGTCAGCGAACCCCTGTTGTCAGTGACTGGGTTCCCTGAAGGGTGCCCTTTAGCCTGCGCTGCAATGACTGCCTTGGACTTCTTTTGGCACTGGGCCATGCGTTCCCGGGTTCCTCGTGTGCTCCCTGTTAGCTTTGTTGATAACCTTGAGTTGGTTTGTGACCGTGTTGATGATCTGGTGTGTGCGGCCGAAGCTCAAAACCAGTTTTGTTCCCTTTTGGACTTGGAAATCGACCACCCTCGTCTTTATGCTTGGGCTTCTACCTATGCTGGGCGTCGTGAACTCAAATCAAGGGGGTTTCACATCAGCCTTGGGGACAGAGACCTTGGAGGTCAAGTCATATACTCAAAGCAGTTGCGAAACAAAATCCTCACGGATCGGATCGCCAGTGTCCAACCGTACTTTGGAAAACTGCGCACTGCGCCTTTGCCGGTGAAAGCCAAGATGCTCAATATCAAGCAAGTTTTGTGGCCTCGGGCTCTCCATGGCATTGAAGCCGTCGCCTTGGGTTCTACACATCTTGCAAAACTCAGATCTGGTGCCATGAAGGCCTTGCGATGGGACAGACCTGGTGCTTCGCCTCACATTCGTTTGGGCTTGCTGCACTATGACTTGGATCCTTTTTGGCAACAAACTTGGAGGGTGCTCAAACTTTTCAAACAGCAGTGTTCCAAAAACCCCACTCTGAGGGCTTGGTGGGGTATTTACTGTGACCAGCTTGCAGGAGCAGACACCAATGGACCATTTGGCAAGGTCCAAAGTGAACTCAATACCTTGGGTCTCCATATCGATGCGGATGGCAGACTCTGGTTTTCAAACAATGCGTTTGTGCAGGTTTTTCAGGTTTCTGAGACTTTGTTGCAGAAGGTGCTTTTGAGCCACTTTCAAAACCATGTCGCTAGTCAGGTGCAGTGTCGTGCTGGCTATGAAGATTTGGAGGGCTTTGACTTAGGTCTTACAACAGCCTTTGACGGGCGTTTCCAGCCAGCTGAGGTTGAGCAGCTCATGATCGTGCGTGATGGTGCTTTCTTTACAAACAGTGCCCAGTGTAAGTTTGACTCTCGAAAGACAGCAATGTGCGACTGGTGCAAGGTGCCTGACACACGGATGCATCGATACACCGTGTGTTCCCGGTATGATGCGATCAGATCACACCATGCTAAACTCTTTGCCGAGTGGGATGAGTTCCCAACCTGTTTCAAGATCGGAGGCCTTGTGCCTCGCAATCCATGGGAAAACCTTGTGTGGGAGGCGCTTTCTGCTCTCCCTGACTTGACGCAGCAGTATCAGTGCATGCCCAAAGGAAAGGTGTGGCATCTGTTTACTGATGGCAGTTGCGACAATCCTCTTTCACCTGATGATGCTCTGGCTTCTTGGTCTGTGATTCTGGCCGATGTGGGACCGATCAGTGCTGGACCTTTGAGAGGTATTCAACAGTGTATCATGAGAGCTGAAGTGACTGCCATCCTGAGTGCTGTAGCTTGGGTAGCTAAGTACACGGGTGACTTGCATCTTTGGGTTGATAATCAGAATGCTGTTGATCATTTGCGTGAGTTGTTGCTTGGCACAGGTGACCCGGAAAAATTTGAACATTCAGATCTGTGGCGGCAGATTGCAACTTTGGTGCATTTTTCGATGGCCAACATCCATGTCCACAAAGTGGCAAGTCATGTGGATGTGCAGGATAGCACTGGGCCTCTGGATGATTTTACCAAAAAATGGAATGATCTTGCCGACTTTCAGGCCAAATTGGCAAACAACAGTAGACCGCGTTTCTTCCAACAAGTGTGGCAAAAGTATGTTGATTACCGCAGTGTTTGGAGGCGTAGGGTTGCTTTGATTACTGCTTTTCATATTGACATTGCCGCATTTGACTGTGCAAAGCCCAGCACGGATGTTTCTGAAGACAGCTGGGAGGAGGAAGTTTCACCGATTTTGTCATGTATAGATGTTGTTCCCAATACGGCTACTTTTCATTTGCCGCTTTTGGCCTTGCGGGACAGCGAAATTTGGTTGGAAGATCAATTTGATCACCATTTTGTGACGGTCAGTCAACAGCTGCTCAATTGGTTGATTGACCAAGACCAGTCTGCATCTCACATGAGGTTAGTGAGTTTTCTTGAAATATATGTGTTGTACCGCGAGTTTCTTGGTGGCCCTGTTGGTGGTTTGAATGCTTTCAATCGGTATGTGGTTCCCACTTTTGCTGCTGATTTCAGAATTTTCAAGAAAATGATCACTAACATTTTCTCGAAGGCAGGTGTTTCAGGTCAGGTGTCCAGCCAACATTTGGTTGCGGCTGGAGTTTTGGTTCCTCAGCTGTCGGTACAGTTTGGCCTTTGTCACGATCTCAGTGTCAGGGCGGTGCAGCTTCTAATTAAATTTGTTGGTACCCGACCTATCACCTGTGCCCAGGGGTTTTCTAAACCCTATTACCAATAGGTTTTCACATTAGGCCCTACAAGCCTGCGAATAGCTGGCTTTTGGACTCGCGAATCCGTGCGCAATATAGGTGGTCTAAACTTACCATTCCCAGTCATGGCTGGTTTATTGTTTTACCCACATGGGGGTTTCCACAAATGGGGGATCCCCAATAGCTGGATGGTTTATAATGCATTAAGATGGATGATTTGGGGGTACTCCCCATGACTTAGGAAACCTCCATATAAGTAGCATGGTTCATACATCATGGTGATTCAACATGATTTAACCGTGGGGCTATCATGAGATGATATGGGATGCTATGGGATGCTATGGGATACTGTATCGAACAACGTGTTTTCGATGAATTTTTAGTGGTGAGCATTTTGTATTGTATCCAATGGTCGGAAAATCATTGATGGTCATAGTCTTTACCCTCTGGTAAACATACAAAAAACTATGTAAAATCACCATTTTCTAGCTGGGTAAATCCACTATAAATCACCATTTTCAGTAGCTATGTTAGTATGTTTACCAAGCCGGATAGATAAAGTAAGTGACCATCAGCTCATTGCCACGACGGTAAGTTAAACATCATATGGAAATATACACCACACCACATCAATGGTATAAAAAATATGAGATACCATACTAACACATCTATTTTCCAATTTCAATTTCAATGGAAAAATGATGGTATCATATACCCATTATATGAAAATCATGAGAATCGCATAGATGGGGATGCAAAAATAGGCTTCATGAAAACATGGTAGCATGATAAAATGAATGTAATGATGATAATGATGGGATATAATGGGATAACAAACATCAGCAATATTATTTAAGGGAGTATAAACCAAGCTTTGCAACCAGCAGGATTCCAAGGTTCCAGGCTTTCATATGCAGGATGACTAGGGGTGAAGTCCCTTCTCAGGAAATATCTAGATCGGTATTTACAGATAAACCCATTTGTGATTAGATGTGATTCCGTTACGGTTAGAAAGAACTTCAGTTTGTATGTTATAGGGTGAGTTTTTTTTTCGTAGTTTGTAAATCAAGCCATTGTTTATTCTATATGTATATATGTATATCTGGTTGGTGGTTTCAAAGATTTTTGATTTCCCAGAATATGGGATGTAATTTTTCCCATTGGCGAAGTCATATTTTTCAAGATGCTTAGTCAACCACCAACCAGATCCCCAATCCCCATGATATGGCCCAATCAAAAACCTCAAAACCCCACTGACCATCAAAAAATTGCTTGAAATTCGGCCCAAATTAGGTTTACCCTCTGGTAATTTAACGTAGCGAACTGGAAAGATCCACCCATTTTTCATGGGAAAACTCACGATTTCAATGGCCATTTTCCAGTTCGCTTTTTGTTAATGTTTACCAGGCCGGGTACTATAGGTTTCTCATACATATTTATTATCCCATGATATCCATTGTTTGGTTGCCATATGGTGCACACGATTTGGTGATGTTTTTTCAGCAAGTTCACTAATCCCATTAAACGTAGTTATATATACAGAATTATACAGTCTCCACCATAAACCCTAGTTCTGCAGGTTTAGAACTCACTTGTAAACCTTATGACAAGACATGATCAACATGTTGTTTGTGAGGCTATGCATTCGCCGCCGAAAACAACAGGATTTTGACGTCATCAACGACCTTCGCAAAGCGTTGTCAGAGGCGTTGTCGTTTTGGGGTGTTGTTGGGGATACAAGTATAGCCTCAGTGTGGCTTCACTAGAATGATGGTTTATATTTGTGGAATCAGCCCACGATGGCCGTATGTAGAACACAGCTATTTTCAGTTTAGTGAATGATTGTAATTCAGCCAGATTATCCAGATATAGTGGGGGTTTGACCTGATGAAAAACCATCGATGGAAGTTATGTCATGTATCACAATGAGGATAAATCCATCGATTCATCATAATTATCCCTGTGAGAATATGCAAAACATGAGGGAAAAACACTATACACAAATGTTCAGACAGGATCAAAAATGGGTATACAATGGTTCAACAAAAATGGTTGGACAATAATTTACAGTAAACACTATTTGTATTTTATACTAATGGCTTTGCAACTTATATACCAAAACAAACAAGATAGGAGCAACAACATAAACAACCCGATGTTTAAAACACAAAACAGAATTGCCTTGCGAGCCATTGCTTCCTTCAGCAGTTCGATTTTCTATCGTTGTTGGGGTTGCTATAAAGAACATGATCATTTGCCTATGTGAAACTGGAACAACGTCTTTTTTTTTGGTTGTTTCTATCGACCAATTGGGGACGGGTATCCACTGCTGCACTGGGATTGTTAAATGTTTACATACATATTGTATATATATATACATACATACTCATAGCAACATATATACACTCAATTCTCATAAAAGCATCAGCAAGTACGGTACAATCCAGTATTAGGTCAGATTGTCAGCTCACATATCACCAAGAAACTGATGTGGCTTTAAGAGAAACCATGGGATGTTCCCCGGTGTGAAGACGGTATCCTAAAATGCTGACATAGGGACATTACATACGTTTGGAAATATCTTGGAACATGAATGTGAGAGATGTTTTGGGTACCACATCATTTGAGGTGATCAATGCCATGACGTGTTTTTTTCCTCAGTTTTAATGTGATGAATACTCAAAATGATGTAAGGATACAAAACTTTTGAAAACATCCAATGCTATGGATGACTTGCGGAGAATTCTTGGGCTGAGCGTGCAAGAAAAGCTGACATCATGTGTCCCAACTCGACAGCTGTATTTTGCGGCTTTCACACTTGCCTTCAGATGCCACATGTTCCTGTGACCTATAGCCTATAGCGACCATCACCTTCAATAATAAATGAGACTAATTAAGGCATCGGCCCTAAATTGGGCTCAATTACATATATGTTCATTACATGTGGATTATATTTAGGAATTTCCAGAATTCCGTCAAAATCTCAACACAGAATCTACTCTGCTGGAGTCCAAAAAAGGGGGTTAGTCCCAACCCCAACTCGTTAGCTGTCCACTTCGGCCAGGCATTCTACAGCAAAGCTCCGCCCAAGATTGCCACTGTTGAGCCAGAGGACTGGCTGATCATATTTGGATTCCTGGTTGGTGGTTTGGAACAGCCGTGGGCTCAACACCTACCAGCTGGCGCGGCCGTGCCATGCCGAACGTTGAGCGTTGGGTTGCCCGCTGTTTGCCATGGATCTTGTCATGGACATGGCGCCTGTGGACACTGGCCAGGTGATCTTTGTTGTGGCCGAGGTGGAGGTTGTTGACCCGAAGCATGAGCGTCATTTGCTGAGGGTTGTGCATGCGAACTGCCTTATGACCTACTCTGGTGTGGTGGATGGAGGCTCTGGTTTGGTCACCCTGTTTGTGGTGATTGTGATGAAGCAGGTTCCGATACCCATGCTGGAAATTCGCTCAGATACTAAGGTTTTGTCTCGCACCTCACACACCTGGAACGACTTTCTGCTGATCGATGCTTACTGTGGGATTGGGGGATTGTCCCATGGTGCCCTGTCGTTTGAATGACGGGGTGGGCGGGCGCTGTCACCTCCGAAAGGTGTAATGATGCTGTGCATGGTTTTGCCACTTGGGTTGTGATGGCTCTGACGCGCGTTGTCTTGATGACTTTTCTGGGGTTTGCATCTGCAGTGAAACAGGCTCAGACTTTTAGTTCTGCGAAGATTCGGATGTTTGTCCTGGTGCTTATGCTCTGTGTATGTCGGATCGGGGAGGTGTCCCACTCTGGTCCTGATGCTGAATTGTTTAGTTTTGTGTTGGGTACAGCCAACCCAACGGGGTTACGTTGCAAAGCAATGTATGTGACAGAGCTCATGTCGTATGGCGGCTTTCCACTTAGGTTCGTTTGCCAGGTGTCTTGCTGTGCCCGGGTGTGCCCTGCGGCTTGAGGATGTCATGTTTTTCCAACTTACAGTTGGGCCTTACAGGAGGCAGTCACAAGCAATGGACCGCCTTCCTGTGCCAGAGACGTGTCCGCCACAATCACCGTAGCGTATTTACACGGCCAAGGTGCTGTCTTCTTACCCCAAGACAGTGCGATGTGCAAAGCGGTGCAAGGTGGTGGTTTGGAACATGAATTTTATTTTTCCATAAATTGGGAATAGTAACCCCAACTGACTTTCATATTTTTCAGAGGGGTAGGTCAACCACCGACCAGATTCCTTTCGGTCAAAGTCCATGGCTTTCCTGTAGAATCGCGATCAACCAGATGAACCAGGCCATGATACGATACCGAGATTTCCATGAATGGCAGCTGTGGCCAGCACCTCTGAACAATATGCATGTCTAAAAGGCCGAAGCATCCAATGATTTTGTACAATATTCTTGGCACATGTTGGCATTTTTTTGTACAATATGAAGACAGACGATGCTGCACGGTCCTTCAATTACCGTGTTTTCATCTACGGATGCTACAACCGCTGGAGAGGATGACCACTGACAGGTTTCATTTTCCCCGAGCACTGTACAGGATTGTCGGACAGTCATAAACTATCATGAGCCTTGCTCTGTTTCAATCCCCATGTTGAACTCCACGACACTGCATGTTTCTAATGCTTGTGTAGTTTTTATGTTGGTCAGTATTAGGGGGATGGGATGGGATTATATATATATAGTTATATACATACGTGTATCTATATATATATATATATTGTCTCATCTATCAGCATGGATCCTCAAAGCCACCATCATTAAGCCTTGCCTTCCCTTCACTTCAGTCACCCAACCTGGCTTTTGAAAATCCCCGGACCTATCAAAATATCTGAATTATAAGTGAATTTCCTATCAATCATATAGATGCCCCATTCATGTTTGATTGCCAGAGTGTATACCGGGATATACCGGGCATATTCAAACAGATTCCAAGTCTTCGATGGTTAGATTAATATGATTGACTTTCATTGAATTAGATTGAGTCCTATTTGATCCCAAATTTTCTGAAACCAGCCATACGCAGCCACATTTTGGGA